GTGGTAGTAATTGGCTTGTATTAACTTTTTTTTAAATAGGTGCTGGAATTGTTAAATTTGTCCATCATTATGAGTTCTCCGTGCATATAATCTATGCATTATTATCTGGCAGACCTGTAGTGATTCTAGGAAGTCCAAGATATGAAAAGTGAGTGCTATAGACCTGTGATGAGTGTTCATTTTTTAAGACCCCAATGTATTATCCATTGTGTGTTGTTGTTTACTCACCTTTGCCATGCAACGAAAAGATATTGCATCATTAGTTTGTATCCATCCATACATTTGTTATTTAATCTAGATTCCCAGTGGGCAAGGTTGTAATAGTTACACCATGTTTAACCTTTACATTAAGTTAAGGTATCAAAAAATGTCAGGATTGTCATGAGCAAGGCTATAATAGTTTCACTATGTTCATGAAGATATTCTATTGTATCATTGCTGCATAAGTATGGCCTTGTAGCCGTGTTTTATCCCAGGCAAACAAGGCTACATTAGTTTTTATAATATGTTTATGATGATATTCTGCATTTTTATGTTGTACATTGTAGGATCAGAATGATGCGTAATATTTTCTCCTAATAGTATTACTCCATAAATTGGATGTTTTTGCAACTACAGCCAACTCGCAATCGTAAACAGTCTTTCCTGAGGCAATTCATAGTGTCTATATAATTGTATTACAGGGAGGTCCGATCACTGATAACTACTCTCTGGTTATTTGTCCCTGGACATTCAAAGTAAGTCTATAGAGAGCCTGGATCATCTCCACCTACTCTATTTAATTATATTTTACACAATTATTTTATAGGTGAATGATCTTTTGTTTTTGTGAATTTTCTTTTTAGTAAAATTGTATAAAGTTTTTCAAATGAATGTTCGGCCTTTCATTAATACGGATTTCATAGGGACCTTGACAAAGATATATCAGTTATTCAATATTTCTATGATTACAATCACATACAGTAAGTATTCGCAATATAATATGGTATTGGACAAAAAACAGTCTGTAGAGATGTCATTAGTTTTGAAAACAATATGTTGTTGCAGTATTATTTTGAATCATAATTACAGAAATAGGTGATTTTTTGTAGCTTTGATTACCTAGGAACAGTAGAACCTTTTGTCCTTAGTAAACAACCATACTAGCGTACATCATAAATCACATACTTAAGATGAAATATGACCAATTTTTAATATTTATCTAATTATCATAATAGAGTTGGTTTAGAACAGGGGTGCAGAGTTTAATATACACAACCCTGACATTCGTAAATAATAATTATTTAAAAAAAATTGTTTCAGACCCTAAACTGTGTTGAAACTTTTGCAGAAAGTTTTGCACCATATGGTTGCTTTATGCACCTACCCCTGCCTTCAGCTTGAATTTCTCCACAGAACTGTGATGACTATGACACACTGATTATTTGTCCATCAGATTGCAGCAGTTTTAGCTCTTCTTAATTATATATTTTGTTATATTGCACAACATACATTTGAAAATTAATTACAATGGGTTATTTGAAAATATGGTTCTCAAAATGTTGCTGATCACAAGTAGTATAGTGTTTGTATTATTTTGATTGGTAGGTCAGCAGTCATGGTAAGCTACTATTATAATAATTTCATAGAGATCTGGTGAAAATATGAATTGCCTTGATCTATTAAATAACTCTCTAATAAAACATTATGTATTGCCAATGTCTCTATGTGGCTTTAACCCAATTGACATCAAAATAAATTTTTCTCACCAATCAAAAAAAAAATTAAAAAAAAAAAAAAAAATATTATATTCAAAAAATTTGTTTGAGATATGTAGCCAATACAAAATTATGTTCGTTTGGTCCAAAATAAATAAAAACAATGATAGAAAAATACATAAAAATTAGCAGAATGTTGCACCAAAACAAAATTCTAACATGCAAAAGGTTAATGCTACTCAATGTAAGTGACTGTAATATGAGACGTCTCACATCACCTAACATTTTTTGTAGTAAGTTACAGTACTCATAACTCACATATATGAGATACAGTCAATTGATTAATTACCTGTTCCATGGAGTATTGTAATCTCCTAATAGAATAGCAGTATTACCTGTCTAAGTCAAAGGTCAATTGTTATTATCCATAATTGATCTTGTATCTTCTTCCTGTTACTGTGCTCTAGAGATTTTTGTTATGCATGATACTCTTTCACATGCTATGATTGATCGTATAAAGATAGTACTATCACAGAATTGTCTGTGTTCATTGATTCTATACAGTATACAGTGATTGTGGAATTCCATTTTATTTGTCTCCATTGATAATGTAATACTTGTTTATTGTTGAGTTCCTCCCATGTCAGTTGTAGATGTCATTTCTGAATTGCAATTATGACAAAGTTCAGACTTGACATAATTAAACTTGTAACTAAAATACTGAAACGATTATTGAATTGAATGGTGCACTATAGTTACCTAATTTGAATAATAATTAGCACATTTTTAGCTTGTCCACTGATATCTAGACCAATTATTGCATTGCGATGAAACTTTGTACATATATGCCTGAGGACAATGTGCAAATGTGATTAGTTTGGGATTGACACCATGTATACTAATCACCTAATTTGCATAATAATTAACCAACTTTATCAGATTTTAAATTAAATTGCTTTTCAATAGACAGCAACCAGAAAATCATTGATGCATAATGACATTCGTAGAGGTACTATCACTTTAGACAACTATAATTATAACTTTTAGTATTTCGGATCAAATTTATTCACATTTTGAACCCCAAAGTTCAGACATGTATTAGCTGACAGTTTCTTATTCAATAGGCTAGTTTTAATTTTTTAATTAAATCCAAATATTTCTACTTCATATGTCTCATTGCCCTAAGTGTTCTTTCTAATCTTTCTTTAATCTTTTAGTATTGTAAAGCTTCATTTTTGTATATTAGTGGCCAAGCTTCTTAAAAGTCGCTATCCTAAAATTTTAATCTCCTAATTTAATTAACTTCCCTGTTTCTACTTTATATGCTGCAATGTACTCACACAGGATTTTTTCTCCAGGCTTACTTTGATTCAATATAATTAATATTCTGTATAAATTGCACTTGATAAAACATGTGCTGTACATGTGTCTTCATATAGATATATACTTTTTTTCAACATCCGTTCACTGGAGGTGGAAATTTGTTCTCTTGAGGTGGCATATGAAAAAATATTTCTTTTTTTGATGATAACTCGTATTGATGCATGTACATTCTTTTCAGTCGATACCATGTGGTTGTTCCATGGCATAGTGATCCCTTGACACTAAAAGATTTGGGAAGGATGAAATTAGTTGGATTATCTAAATCCAGATCTTCCAGATCATCAAATGTGTTGCCAAGTTCTGTTAGAAGATATGTATCAGTATTAGACTATGATAAAAGTTTATTGTACTCACCATCATACAAGG